CTGTCTCTCCACTGCAATATACTTTTTTAATGTACTACGTTTCACAATGCACTAAGATAAACCGGCTCCATTCGTCAGGCCTTTTCTGGCCTCTTTACAGGGTAATGAGAGAGTGTGGGAATCGTGCACTTGACTGGGACTCGTTTACGTCTCCGTGACATTAAAGGTCCACTCCATCATTTTCGCCAACCGACACTTCGTTTTGGCTTCAGCGAAGTCCACATTAGCAAGCTGTAAATCAGTAAGCGACCAGAACGTTGTTTTTCAGTGTCCCCGGTCTCTAGTCTAACCGCTACCTGTTTTCTGTGCAGCTTTTAACTTTCAACAGATTAAATCAAGGGGATGCTTCGAAGTGCTCTGTGTTAATCTCATATAAAGTAACCACGGTTATGTATTTAGGTTTCTGTGTATTATATTCAGTTGGGTACAACACATTGACATTTTTATCATTTGATTACAGTTACTGATGTCGGTAAAATGATGTTACTTGTGTTACAAATTCATTGTTAAGAAACAAAACATTTTTAAAATAAATGACCTGGGGCGTAACCCGTCCTGAGCGTTCGCGCCTGTAGCCCGGAAGATTTGTTTCTTTATCCCAGAATAATTCTCCACTTGGAGCGGGTTTGTCGCTGCGTAACTGAACGTCAGTAAAAGAAGACACGGCCGTGTTGTAATTCTATATATTCAAATGAACAGAGGTGAAAAAAAACAAACGGGGGTTTGCAAAAAATTTTAAAACCCTTCCCCCCCTTTTTTTTCTTTAAAAAAGGGGGTTTTGTTTTGTTGGGAGAAGAGAACGGTTCCCCCGGGCGCTGGTGGCTTGGTGGTTAAGGCTGCGGGTGATTGATCTGAAGGTTGGGGGTTCAAACCCCTTGAGCAAGGCCATTAACCCTCTCTGCTCCAGGGGCGCTGTATCATGGCTGACCCTGCACTCTGACCCCAACTTCCTGACATGCTGGGGTATGCGAAGAAAATGAATTTCACTCTGCATATGTATATGTGACCAATAAAGACTCATTATATCTGCTTCCAGCCATGTTGTTTTTTTCCAGGAAATCATGAATTAGCACAAGATCATCCTTTTTCTGGCTATATGAAAATAATGTACTCCATATATCCAGGAAATTAGTACAGGATACAATAAATGAAATGCTCTTTTAAAAGGTCAGTCCACCACTTTACAGTTTTTTTTTTTCCCCCTCATCAAAGCTAGCTATTTAGAAAAGGTTATATACTGCAGCTCTCTACAAATTTGCGACATCCGATAATATATTGAATCCATGACAGCTCACAGTGCTCAGTCATGCACTATTCCCCCAAAGTAATGACTTGGTTTGGATTGAGCTAAAAACAAAATTTAAATTCTTTCCCAAAAGTGATATCTGCTGTATTCGTTCCTCTATTCATTCATTCGTTCGTTCAAAGCCCCTAGAGTAAAAGTTTGTTTTTTTTTTTTGTTCCAGGGTACTCTTTTAAAGTCTGGGACGACTGAGAATGTGAGCAAGTGGCCTCGGTGCCAAAGGCTTCGTCTGAAGCCTATTAATTTAAAAGTGAAGCTGAAGGTGAAATAGGACTCACCGAGGTGACTGTCACTGACTCCAATTGAAGTGCAAGCAACAATCGCAGTTTTCAGATGCCATGCTGTGAAAGGCCCCACAGAGGGAATGGATTTACTCCTTCCCTCTCATTTCCTTCCACACAGTGTCTCACTCTTTTCTCCATTCGTATGAAAGTAAGCCTCTTTCTCTCCTCTTTTGATTTGGTAATTCTATTGTTCTTTGGACAGAAAAGTATGCTGCCTTTTTTGTTTTCTTTGGCTTGGTGGTTTTATGAACTAATTCAGCCTTTACGCACAACGAGTCACACTGGGAAAACCCTTACACAGCTAATAAGGCTAATAACGCAAGTACAACATAGACAAAAAGGTGATTTAAAGGAACGGAAACGAGGAGCTAAGAGGAGATATTCTGTGATGTTATTGTAAACAGACTTCCAGACCAGCCAAAACAGATGTGAAAGAGTATGCGCACATACGGGTTGTATAATGCAATGCCACTATTACCACCCTGAATATCCGTATCTGTACTTCTATTCAGATTAAACTCAGAGTGGGTGGGGCCTGCACCAAATGGGATCCCCATGAGAATGCTGGAAAACACTGGAAAACACTAGAAGAAAAAAAATGGAAAGGTATAAATGCCAGTCATGTCAGCATGGTGTGTGAATTCTGGCTCTGACGGTTCCTCATTCTCAGCTACATCACTTTCGTTCAAAATGGGTTTTGTGCAGGATTTTTTTTTTTTTTTTTATCCTCAGGGGGTTTTTTTCTATTTTTTTTCCCCCCAAAATTGAAACAAACTAATGCTGTAATTTAAAGCACTGTGACGGTGGATGCTGTAAATGCATTGCTCAGGTCTTTCATTATCCAGCAAGCTTCATATCTGACTGCTCACTCATGCCTGCATGAAAGTGAAATAATACTCTTTTTTTGGAAAAACACCACCACCACCACCACCAACAACAAATTCCCACCAACCAAAACGTTGCCCATTCTTATCTGTATTCAGACAGCATTCCTGCTGCACATGCATGTGTGTGTGGCAGTGAAATAAATGGATGAGTGTCTCAGGTTGCCATGTGTCAAGATATCAGGCCTGAACACTTCCTCTCTTTTTGCCTCGGTCTTGTCGTTTCTCTATTTGCGGTCTCGTTGCTAAACAGAACTAAAGTGTGATTGATTTTCAAAATGCTCATTCCATGAATTCGACAACGTTCCGTGTAAACACGCGTCATATTCCCGAAAAGAACTCGCATACAATAGTGTTTTTCACAATAGTGTAGGGAAGCCAATGAAACTTGTCAGCAGTTTCATTTCTTACACAAACCTCACTGGAAGAACCCAAATCTACTGTATTGCATAATGCTATTCATAACTGTATTGCACTTTTCTTTTATAAATAAAAGTACTTTATGACTATATATCTATATACAACTAAATGATATCCCATTTAAATACAAAACGTCCCCAGAATTCTTGGAAACAATCTTACTTGCACATATTTTTGAAAACAGCATTCCAACTGGAGACATAAGCACGTATTTGTACATTTTGATCAAATATGCCTATTCCACATGTCACTGTATACCTTGAGCCCCTCCCCAGCTTAGAAAAAACCCCAAAACAACAACACCTGGCAGTTGTTCCATTGTAATAGCTTTCATCAAATGATTAAATTGCTTCGTGGCCAGTTTGTGGATCTGAAGAACAAGATGAAAATCACCAAAGTTGATTCTGTTCAATGCCTTGGAACATGTTTTCCTCACAGCATGGCAGTGCAGCAGGTAGTGTTGCCAGCTCACAGCTTCAGGATCCCCAGTGGGTTTTGTCCGAGTTCCTGTGTGAAAAGAGTGTGAATATGTGTGTGGATGGTGACTTGTAGTGGAGTGGCATCCCATCTGTACTCAGGATCCACCACGACCATAACCCTGAACAGGATAAATTGGGTACTGAACATGATGACGATTTCCTCAATTAAGTTACCAGATGAAACCTGCAGGAAGGTCGATCTCGAGGAAGAGGGTTGGTGATCGCTGGTATAGAGAATGACCTCCATCCTACACTGATGATCTGCTACTTGCTGATCTATGCATATACGCTACAAAAACGGACATCTTAGCATGTGAACATATCTTGAATATACTCGAATATGTAGTATTGCCTATTATAAGATTACAGTAGACCAAATATAAGATCATTCAACCTATTTTGAGACTTTTTTTTGCTCATTTTAAAACGTTCATATTCTAGTTCATTCGAGCAATACATTTTTGGAACAAGGCTAATTCAAGCTTGAAATTAGTCTAGAAATAAGTTTAATAGTATCTTATAATAGGAAATTCGAGATAAATTGGACTATATTCAAGATATTTTTCACTTTCTAAGATGTCATTTTTTTTTTTGCCATGCATCTGATATGTAATATGATTTCTTACTCCTACACGGACCAGTTTCTCTCCCCTGCACTCTCCTGCTACAGCCGTCCTCTAGTTCTTGCTTTCCTGCTGGTTTCCAAGAGGTCATCCGAGTCCCTTTGCATGCCTGAAATCAAACTGCATTACCGTTTTTTTTCCCAATGGCTGACTGCACCTTCAGAACTCTTTAGGAGGCTGTTTAAGCCGTCATGCTTTTCCAGTCAAAAGGAGCGGGAGCCGACCCCCCAAGGGAAGTTTACCCTTCCTCTACAGCCAGGGGAATTAACACGGATGAACCGTTTCTGGCTCCATGTCTGAGTCTGTATCTGATCTGTTGTCTTTATCATCCTCCCTGACCCGGTGCTTTAACTGGCACAGTTCCCAAGAATCGTCCTCTGTCAGATTTTGTTTCCAAGACGTTGTCTTTGTAAATCCTCAGACAATTACCAGCCCTGACCTTTGCTGAATTGCTGAGTCTCTTTCAGGGTATGATATTTCCCTTAAATCAGACTTCCCTGTGTTAGACTTGAATCTTTCCCCTGAGTCAATCTCAGGCCATTTTTATCTCAAGTATCAGTCCCATGTCCTCTCATTTCCCAAATGTCAGGCCCTGTCTCTCTGCCTTTCCCTTGTGACAGAAGGTCTATCCATGTTCTCTCCAGTTCATGTGTAGCCCCTGAGTTTGACTTTATATAAGGCTCAAACACAGGGCAATGCTCAACCTCTGAGCCCTCTCCAGCAACTCGTTCTTATCCTCTGAGAATTCCCTGCATCAGTTTTAAACGTTTTAGTTTTACTTATTGCCACACTTGATGTGTCAGCTTTCCACAAGGTCACATTCAACCCCTGGGCTTGTTTCTGTCTCAGCCTTTCTTATGAGCAAGTACTGGAACTTGAGACTTTCCATGCCTCGGTATCAGTCGTGGGCCCTCATCCTGTCCCTGTCCCTATGTCAGTTACGGATTTTGCCCCAGGTTCTCTCTATGCTGTTTTTTTCCCCTCTCTCCATCTCCATCACTAAGTTTGGCAGTGGTAGCTCAATGGTTAAGATGTTAGTCTACTGATTGGAAGGTTGTAAGTTCAAATCCCAGCACTGCCAAGTTGGCACTGCTAGGCCCTTGTGCAAAGCCCTTAACCCCTCAACTGCTCAGAGGTATAAATGAGATAAGTATAAGTTGCTCTGGATAAGGGTCTTTTCCAAATGCTGTAAATGTTTCCTTGTAGTGACTGGATTTTTGCATGATGATGTTTTCTGTGTGACGACACGAGGCTAACGATGAAACTTGCTAAGTGACAAACCTTGTAGTTACACAAACTTTAGTCATTTGTGTAAGTCTCTCTCTCTCGACCACAGATGAATCTGTCGTGGTGACTTGGCTCAACATTAACCGGAGTAATTTATTATTCTTAATCGATGTAAGGCATCAGAACCAATTCGCTATTCTCCCCTGAGTCACTGATTTGAAATGAAGCGAGGAAGGTGTCTGTGTGTGTGTGTTGGTTTCAAGTGCGGAGGTGTATCAGGCTTGTAGGAAATTGGGTATACACTCCACAGTGATCGAAATGGAGGCAGAAACTACTGACATTAACAGCCAGGCACTTACTCATCTGAACGACTGCAGTGGACACTTGTGCATCTAGCATTCTCTTCTCAGAACATGGCACACTACTCAGCAAGAAAGAAAAAAGAAAGAAGGAAGGTATGGAACATACTATTCTCTAAATGTCTGAAAATGTACAGGTATTAAGGGATACAAAGCAGTTCATAATTAAAATGTAGCTTACGTTTAGCTTCATTTCATACGCAGGCTTTATCGTTATTATCGCGGGAACCGTGGGAAAATTCGGATTGTCGGGAGAATTTCTACCGGTCTATCGCAAATGGAATCACGTTGAAGCATGTTTAACCATGTTACAAAACCTGGACTTACATTTTTTAGTTTATAAGTTTATTGAAATCTTATCATTATATACAGATTTGCCTCATGAGAAGTGCACAGTAGGTGCTGCTGCATGCATTTTAATGTTCCACCATGGTCTTCGTGAAATGAAAACCAACTTATCAGCTACACAGCACACACGTGGCTAATACGTCCCGCAGCTTTTGACTGGCTGTGCTGGCATTCCTTGCAGTCAGCACAGGGTTTAGATAAGCTCAGGCCAGACAATACACTTAAAGTGACAGAAAGGGGTAAGGATATCACCGAATATTTGAGCAATTTGAATTGGGTTCAAATGGGAGACCACTTTCTTGGCGAAATAAAAGAGCAATATTTGGGCAAAAATGTGTTTTTCAGATAACAGAAATGTCTTCAGCTGGAAAAATCCTCCCATGGTCTACAATCTTCACTCTACCCCAGTATATAATCTTAAATACCGGTCTGAGCTTATCTGAATCCTGTGCTAATGTCTTTTCATGGCTGATTTAACGTAAATGATAACAGGAACTCTCATGGATGTTCCACAACATTAAATAAATGGACCTATAAATGGTTAAAAGCATCACATATACATACGGCATGCTTTATTTTGCATAGTCTTACTTTTTGTTCGCTAAAAACAGAAGCAAATAACTATCCATCCATCAATCCATTTGGGAGCCTGGAGCCCAACCTTGGGAACCTGCGGCGCAAGGCGGGACACGCTGGGCAGGGTGCCAACCTATCGCAGGGCACAATCGCACACGCATTCACACAACGGACAATTTCAAAATGACAATCAGACGACAAGGCATGTCTTCAGACTGGGAGAGGAAACCGGAGTACCCAGAGGAAACCCCCGAAGCATGTGGATAACATGCTAATTCCACACACTCAGGGAAGACGTGGCACCCGAATCACCAACCACGGAAGCCATCGTGCGGCCCAGCAAATAACTAATGAGCTATAATCACGTCTATGTGCCATGAACACAAATGATAAAAGAATGACCAAGCATCAACGAGACATATAGGAGCTATGCTTAATGAGTAAAGCCATCAGCAGAGAAACTGGACTGCTGTGCGAACAAGAAAAACAACCTCATTTACATTATAATATCCTCTCTTTGCTGTGAGAAACCCTTGTTCATGGTTAGCGTTATCCCGCTGAAAGTGACGAACAGCTGCACAGATAGCAAACTCGTCACAAACACACAAATATTTTCGGAGTGACCCATTTGTGCCAGACGTTAATGAGAAGTGGGTTTGATTTCTTTTCCAGCAGATAAGTCCTCCCTTTCCAATAATTACAAGCTTGTGGCAGTAAACAGAACTATCTGATGCTATCTACGTGACAGAAAAAAAATAACCAATTCGCACGCTTGCCTTTGTCTGCTTTTTTCCTTATTTGTTCATGATGCCGCCAATCAAGGAAGCCTTGCACTAAAATGTATACTAAGATCTATAGTGTGTAACCTAATAAAGCCAGAGCGAGGAACGATAATAACATTCAAATGGACAGAATTTACACTCATTCTTTATGCCACTTTATTAGATAGACACATTTGTGACATCCAGACAATCCAAAAACATGCATTGAAGGCTGATTGCCATTTCCAAATTGTCTGTAGTGTGTGTGAATGGGTGTGTGTGATCGGTCCCACCATCCATGGTGTCCCCTGCCTTGTGCCGAGAGTTCCCTGGGGTAGGCTCCAAGCTCCCCCGTGACCCTGTGTAGGATAAGCGGCATGGAAAATGGATGGATGAGCCTTTCTTATATAAATAAATAAATAAATAAATAAATAAATAAATAAATAATCAATCTCTCTCGCATGTGAACGTTTCGATCCAAACCCTCCCAGAGAAGTTTGATCATGTTAAAGCTTGCCCAGTCACCCGACCATAACCAAATCACACTGCTCTGTGGTTGTATGGAGCGTAAATAAGTGTGATTAAGTGCAATGGGATGTTTGTAGAGCACTACAGAAGTGTGGCAAGGCCATAGGGATTATCTCCTGTTATACATATATAATATGAGTAATGATTACAGTCATTGACCTGAGTGGGTAATGACTGGGGTCCAGATTGAGTTTAAACGAAGTGGTTTTGTTTTTGGTAGAGGCAGATTATTTTTCTGCTGATACGGAGTATAATCACGTAATCATTTTGATGAGGGTGCCAACATCGCTAACAAGGAATTCCTAGCAGGAAGCGGAGAGAGAGAGAGAGAGAGAGAGAGAGAGAGAGAGAGAGAGAGAGAGAAATTCACCACAAAAACCAGTAGTCGGTGGACGGGACGGCTCCATGCTAACAGCACTGTTATTACAGATAAGAACTGGAGCTAGATAAGTGGACGAAAATGTCATTGGAATACTGTAACGCATTATCCCCAACTCTGCTCCCTGCATAGGTTCCTGCACATGTCGTACTTAATCATACCTAGCTATGAGAACAAAATTTGAGGATGGGGATAGAGTAATTAAAGCCAGGTCATTAGTTCCATCGAATGGAAAAAGGCTGGGTGCAGTGGTGTTTAGTCTCAGTAAGAGTACGCAGCGTGTGCTGCAAGTATAAGTGTACAAGATGTGCATACAACACAGTCATCCTTCTATATTCATAAACACATTATAGGTATTAAAGCTGATTCGTTGTAAGTAGCATCCTTAAGTGTCAAAAATCTGTGTCCTCAAAGACTTAATAATAATAATAATAATTAATAATAATAATATGCTCCATACAAAAATCAATCCATTTCTGATCGAACACTTACATTTGTCTTGCTCGGTCACTTTGCTTGTATCTGACATGAGATTTTTTCCAAACCTCTCATTAAACTCTTGCTGCTAATTAAGAGAGTGAGATGAACTGAGCGTGCTGTTACATAACTCAGGGATCCTAAACTAGACCCAGATTTCGCCTGTGTGTTTCACATCGTATTTCTCACTAACACACTATGGGAAGCTGTTCCCAATGAGAACACACACACACACACACACACACACACACACACACACACACACACACACACACACACACACACACACACACACAAAATGCATTATGTAAGAAAAAGCCGGTGGCTATGTTTGAAATTGCATACTTGTCCACATACTCCTTACAGTATGAGTGATATCATTTTTACATTATACACCATTTTTATTCAGTTACTTTGACCCAAGATGTGTCCATGTTTGGTGGTTAAAAAAAAGACAGTGAAGAACGCTTTAAGGCAGTGTTTTATCCTTAATTTCTTTTTTTTTGTGCGGGATGAACACCCTGGATGGGGTGGTTTTAGAAAACAGAATTGTTGACGTCTGACAGCATTTTTGACCACGACAACAAAACGCCAGCGAGTTCATCAGCCCGTGGCGTTGTATGCGTTTTAAAAAGGTAGGCAATGGGAAGCTGGAATATATATCAAATATAATTACATAATAAATATTATATAAATGAGATGATAAAATTTTATTTGATGGTATACGGTGTTAATGCAGCTTGATATTAATCTGACGGTCCAATACAGAAAATTGGCATCAATATATAAACGTTTTATATAAACGTGCTTTGAGGGCGGGGGGTTGGCAGACACTGGGGTTTAGTGGTTGGTCCGTTTGCCTCACAAATGTGGGTTGGGGGTTGAACCTCTGGCATGTGTGCGTGGAGCTTGCATGCTCTCAATGTGCTTCAGGGGTTTCCTCTGGGTACTCCAGTTTCTTCCCCCAGTCCAAAGACATGCATTGTAGGCTGATTGAAATTCCCAAATTTATCTGAAGTGTGTGATTGTGCCCTGCGATGGGCTGGACCCCTGTCCAAGGTGTCCCGTGCCTTGTGCTCCGAGTTCCCCTGGATAGGCTCCAGGCTCCCCACAACCCTGTGTAGGATAAGCGGTATGGAATATGGATTGGTGGATAAACTTACAGGTAGTGAGAAACCTCCATGAGCCATAACGTGGTATTGAAAAGCTCACGCTGTTTGGTGCTGGAGGTTAAACGTGCTCGGAGATTTATTCCAACACTCAATGCTGAACCACATTCACGGAAACAAAATGAACCTAGAGAAAGCCATGGAAGTGAAACCACAACTGCATGCACAATTGTCTTGCAATAAATGATAGAAGAATACATCACGCGTCCGTGTAGATTTGCACGAACTAATTCTCAGTGTTCTCCGGTTTATTATTT